TATACGAAAGCCAAACCAATAGCAATAAAGGTTGGCAACAAATATATTTGGAGTCGGTTACGAAAACGAAAAAACTAATATCGATTCCCAAATATACGAAAGCCAAACCAATGAGTTATGCAAAATGAGCACTAGCACAGTCGAAAATTTAACGCGAAAAAATACTGTCCAAAAATTAATTTTGCGAAAAAACTGACCGAATTAAAATTTTAAATTTATGCGATTTACAAAAAGGTCGCACCTTAATGTAGGCGAATCCGCAATCCCAAAATCCCTTCACATTCACTTCAATATATAATATGTGTATATATGCGTAACGATATATAATATATGTATGTATAAATAAGCGTTTAATGTGAAAAGGGAGAGCCAAAAACTGAAAGTGTGCGTTTGCAGTTTTATTATTATTGTTTTTTGTTTGCACCACTTTCAATAATTCGCACTCGCGCGGATAGCAGATAGCGGTGGAAACGGTTTGTCTTTTTTACCGGCACTTTGGTTTTCACCGGYTTTTAGGTTTTACGGCACTTTAAACAGTTTATAAAACTTTTAAAAACTGTAACGTATGTAATAACTTTTTAATTTTTTTTTTGGTTATTTCAAAAACTGTCGAGCTTTTATTTGCGCCCACCACTCTACCGCATAAATAATTCACTTTTATTTCGTTATTTGGTGAATTTGTCACTTTACACTATACATACGTATACGCACACTCTCCACAATACTTCTCTTTTCTTCTTTTTGATTTTTTAGGCTGAGGTAAGTATACGGGTAAGTATTTCAGCACAGTATATACATATATATTTTCACAGATTCCCACTGCACTTATATATTTTATATGTAAATGTATATTTTATTATTTTTGTTACAGGTTCCACTGTACGCTGATATACATATGTATATGTAGATATATATTTTGTGTTGGAGGTTTTCACTGCACGCACTTCACATACATGTACCTATGTATATGTATATACATATGTTTGGATCTTTAATCCTTCTTTTTTTTTTTTTAATAACTTTGTTTCTTAGCACTATCCCCTAACCGTGAAACCCGAAAATCCGAAAACCGAAAACGATAATTTGGCAATTGGTTGCGAAAAAGATATTCTTTTACTATATATATATGTTAGTTATTTTAGTTTTTTAATCACGCTCATGTCCCTGCTCGGGCGCCATGAAAATTCTCAAGAGTTTTTGAGAGATAAAGTAGTCGGGACAMGTGAATTCACTAAAATTAAAACTCAACCAATTGCCTGCACTTCGATATTGCGACGAGAAATTAGCGAAAAAGTGAAACGCGTGCGATCTTGAGTCCGGTCTAATTACAATTCATTTCTTTATTCCAGTTCATCTAGTTGCTTAGCCTAAATCTTAAAACTAACGGTATAAAACAGTTGGAATGGAAGTATACAGGTATGTACAAAAAGGTAGTAGTTAGTGAGTAGTTCATTTTGTTAACTTATAGTAATAGATTAAGGTAAGTATATTTAACATTATTAGGGTAAGTACAATGAAAGGAAAACTTTATAATTTAAATATAAAATGCATTTCAGAAAAATAATTAATTTTAATTTCATTTTAGGTTAAACATATACATATACATAAGTCGCTTGACGCAACACTACCCACCCTAGCCTTCAGTGCTTGGAAATGGCACTGGCAGCGCTGCATCGACACAGAAGGAGCCTATTTTGAAAGACGATCTCGACTCAATCCAATTACTTTCCGGACAAACCCTGTAATTTTAAACAAAGTCGTTTTTTTCTGTTTCTGTATCCCTAGATTGAGATAGAGGAAGGTTCACATGTATAATAACTGATTGAGATATTGTATAATATTAATATAAGGTATAATCACCCATCTAAGTTGGCATACGCTACGCCTATGGGACAAATATCGCCTGATTGTAGCGTTATTTCTTCATTATTTTGTTATTTGCATCCAACTATTAACTCATAGGCATATGCATGTATATATGTTAGCGACACTGACTCCTGCCAACTGTACATACGTACACCGCTAGCATATGCTTTATTTCCGAAATCCTAAATAGTTTATATACATATCTACATATCGTCACCTGAAGTGCAAAATAACGTAACAACATTTTCGAAAACTTACAATGGCATGAATGAAACACGAAATAAAATGGAACATTAGTGAAACAAAATTATAATATCTGTTAAAACTGGTTTATATCTGACTGCAGAACCTGCAAATGTTGAACATATGTAATATTATGTATGTAATTTGAAGTAGTGAGCATAATTAATAAAACACCCAATTTAGAATTTTTTGACACGTTATTTTGCATTTCAAATGATGATATCTACACATTAAGTATAAGCGCATCTATTTGCACCTACATCAAGTGCATTACCTATTGACGTGCAGTTATTATCATTGCAGGCATACATATAATTGAAGCTCTTTGCGGATTTAAGTTAGTACTAAAAATAAAGTCGTGACGCCAGGTCAAATCAACTGCAGTTCTTTTTGTTTATACTTATACAATAACATTCATTAAATAGTAGAGAAATACTGCTATTTTTGACCTTTCTAATATGATGTCGTAAATTATTGCATTTTTTCCGCTAACATTGAATACGCTAGTTATTTATATGCTTTGTACACATTAAAAAGGTCTACTGAAAACTAGAATAATAATAATTTTTTGCCACTTACTTTTTACGACAAATAATGGCTAATTTGCGAAGCGATTTGAACTAATACAACATTAATCCTTATTAATTAAATGTCTTAAATACGTTTTTGATTTAACATAGATAGATCTATATGGCCCTTTACAGCACATGATTTAAATTAATATTTTCAATATTTGAGATTTTAAAATTACGGGACGTAGCTGTTGTGGCGGTAACGGCTGGCCGGAGCGGCGGTAGCGTGCTTATAAATAGTGCATCGGTCCAGTATGAAATGGTGGAGCCATATTTCTATTGTCACACACCGACGCAAAAATTTGGTTTTATTACCATTAAAGAGCACTCAAACATTTCTCAGAATCACTAATTTGTTATTTTTGTTGGATTATGAACTTGTGAGGCACCCACTTCGCACAGAGCTTTCGCCTCTTTAGGACGTGATTGTCCTCGGTGCTCATTTCGTCCCGTTTCAACTTAGTAAATCTTCARCGATGGATTTCCTTGGTGCAGAGCCCACAGCCCTTTTTTTTATTAAAGTTTACTATTTATTGAATCCCAAATCGAGTTACAGAATATAAAAAATCCGAATTCGAGTAACAGAACAGACCCTCAGGTGAATAAGGGGAGTGGTTAATGGTTATAATGTGATTTTTGGTCAAATCGTCCTTCGAATGTTGGATTCTGAGCAATTTTTCGTGGGCAGACAATTTGTGCGGAACAAACCGTGTGTTTTCATGAACGCAGAGTTTCGATGGAATTTCCGGTGATTACGGATTTTGATTGGCCCATATGTTGATTGTCATTTATGTCCACTTGGAAAGCGCTTGAACCACTCGTGCAATTTGCTACGGGATAGGCAATCATCGCCATAAATTTGTTTCAACAATTTTTAAACCAAATTTAATGTTGGCTCCTTGTTCGAAGCTCATTTTCGCACCGATAACACAAACATACTGACACTTAGAACGCAAAAACTTCACTTCCAATCAATGTCATGAAATTCTCACTGGACAATCGATAAAGACAGCAGATTCTAACGTACCAGCCAATATATAGATCATCACCAGGGCGTTAGATTCAAAGAGTCCTTTTCAATCTTTATATTAGGTATATGGGCGCTAGGGGCATTGGTCCTATTCAACCTATTTTTGACATACACACTTACCATTACTAAAAAGGGAGTATCCCTTAATTTCAGTTATATATTATATACCACACATTGATCGCCATTTTCGAACAAAAATCAACTAAAAGTACCGGTGTCTAAATGTTCGGTACCTAGRGGCTTGAAAAGTTGTAATTAGACATAAACAATTTTTGAGCATTTTTTTAAGGTGACACAGTGTATCCCGTTATATTAATTGTTTCTTGATTTGCGTCCTAGAAACTGAACGAATCAATTAGAATTTAAAATTCTGGTATACATATGGGAAGTAGGCGTGGGTATTGTCCGATTTCGTCCATTTTCACAATGTGATCTTCGAATGTAAAAAGAATAATGCTCATCATCATATTTTGACACCAGCTAACAGAAAGATCTCTCATTTCATATCGGTGACAAAATTTAGTGTCTATAGGGTACTTAGTTATTGATTTATCGCACTCTTAGTAGTTTTACCGTTATGTGCGCGGAGTTATCCTCCGATCTCATCCACTTTCACAATGTCGGTAGAAGCTCTTACAAGATTTATACTCAACATATTTGGTTGTTACAGCTTAAGCGCTTTAGGAGATATGCATATTAAACATATTAAGGGGCAGGGCCACGCCCACTTTTAAAAAAATTTGACTCACAGGTGACCCTTGCTACTGCGATCCTCTGTGCAAAATTGCAGTTCACATATCAATAAAAGGCGCTCTCAATTCACTTAAACAGGCATTCCAGGGGCAGGTCAATAATTTCAACACTGGGAGCTTCAACGATATGACGATTTGTCCGAAGGGGTATTTCTCATACTTAGACACTAGGACAAAAGAAACTACAGAACTTTAAGGGTATAAATGGATGGTTGCGCTCAAAAGGGAATTACAGAATTGGGTATTTCTTTGACTCTACCCAGTTGTAAGACCGATTATTACTAGGGTAAATTGGTATGATCACAATCTATTTTTTTTCCAACTCAACAATACGGATAACCATCGAAAATATTTCTTGTTAGTACCTGCAATGAAATGAATTTGAGATGATTTTATGCTGCATCTTTGTCAAGTTAAGGAATTTAAGATTCCCCTTTTAAGTCAAAAATCTCCACCACAAATTGAATAAATACAATTCCATGATTAATATCGAGGCTTTAGCCACTTATATATTTGGATAAGAGTGATAAATCTTTAATCTTTATCTCGTTTGTAACTAATTTATTTCTGTCAACGCCTCACTCCCATTTTTTGTTATGAGAATAGTATGTTCAAATTGTGCGCTTCGCATACCATCGACAGAAACTGCGGTCCAGCCATCTTCCATTACATACACGTTGGGCTTACCAAGACTAAGTATGGGCTCAATTGTAAATACCATTCCTGTACGCATAAAGCCAGGTTCAGAATTATCTACCAAATAGTTTTAACATTACGTTCATGTACACAAAATTATTTTGTTTTTATTTTTACAATAATGCAATATTTCCGGTGGTTCATGAAATGATTTCCCAAGTCCATGGCCAGCAAATGCTTGTATCACATTACATTTTTTTATATTGCAGAAATCTGTTATATATCTGCCGATTGCATTAAAAGGGGTTCCAGGTTTACATATAGTAATGCAATGCTGTACACATTCCTCTGCTGACTTTACCAAATATACACCCAAATCGTCAACATTTCCTACAAGAAATGTTTTAGAGCAATCTCCATGACAGCCATTCAAATATACGGTAATGTCAACATTTATTATGTCTCCATCGACCAATCGTCTTTCGTTGGGAATTCCATGGCAAGCCACATTGTTAACTGACGTGCATACAGATTTTGGAAATCCAGCATAACGAAAAGGGGATGGGTAGCCTCCTACAGAAATTATCTGATCATGTGCAAAGGCATCGATTTCACCAGTTGATGTACCTGCCTACAAATACAAAAAAAAAAAACAAAAAACAAATTAAATATATCCTATTACATTTAGTAGAATTTATTAATCTTTTAAAGGACTACACAAATATTTCAAAAACTTTTAAATTTTGATTTTTATTTATTTCTTCGCAAAATAATGMTATCTTTTTATTTTTGGCTTACAAAATAATAACTTCTATTTATTGCTCACAGAATAATAGGTATGTGTGAGTTTTAAATAACCTTTACGCAAGAAGAGAGCTTTTTGTGTTGCCTTCGCGATTTGAAAGTAATAACGTGAGAGTATTATTTGTCAAAGCAAATGAAAAATATTACTCTTCAACTCTAATTACGTAAGATCACCGCATAATTATTATTCTAAGAGTAATAAATCTAATATATAAAATTTCCATGTCACAATGTTAGTTATCGTACTCCTCCGAAACGGCTTTACCGATTTTTACCAAATTTTATATGTGTATTCAGTAGGTCTGAGAATCGGCTACTATCTATTTTCCATACCCTTAAAGCCGGAAAATTGGACAATTYCCAAAATAAACTTTTCCCACACATTTTTTTGTTTTGTTTTTCAATATTTTGATTCGTAAATTATTTGAATCGTTCAATTTCGGTCGTTTGCTTTTTAATTCCGGGTATTCAAAAGAAAAATTATTGAAAATTATTCAGTGAAAATTTTCACACAAACTGATCAATTACAGCTTAAAATTTGTGCGAAGTCGCGAAGAGACCGCGCTAATATCGGTCGACGTTCCTTTTGCCATCAACGTATGGCAACCCAAGACACATGAACGAGTACCCCCAGGATGCAATGACATACGTGTGGGATTATGGATCGCTGTCAATCAGCAAGCAATCTTCACGATGTAACAGAATTTTAAAGCAACAGCTACGATGTTCGATGGACTTTATCGTGAAGCAACGTATATGTGATGCTGCTAGATGCTGGATGTAATCGGTTGAGTGGCAAAAGAGAGGTTTGCCACACGAACACATTGTTCTTTGGATAGGTGGTTACACCAGACCAAATTGATGAAATCATTTTGCGGAAATTCCTGATGTAGAGAAACATCCAGTATTATACGAAGTGATGAAAACTAATATGGTTCATGGACCTTCCGGACACCACAATCCACTTCACAGAAATTAATGCTGAGTATTGCTGTTTGGTGAAATCGATCAAATACGTTTGCAAGTATATCACCAAAGAAAGCAATATGGTGGTTATTGGCTTTGAACGCGATGAGATCAGAAATTATCAAATGAGTCGGTAAATGAACTGCTACGAGTATGAAGCGCTTTGTAGGATATTTACTTTTGCAATTCATTAAACCTTTCTATTCGACTGTTATGCTTCTCGCAGTTCATTTGGAGAGGGCCAAAGTGTGTATTTAAACCCAGAGAATACAGTAGAGCCAAAGGAAACAATCCCTCGATATTAAACATAAAATGCATCGTCAAAGAAATGTTTACACAGAAAACAAGGCCAACCAGTAGGTGGACATTCAGGTGTGTTCTCAACTAATGCATTAGGATGAATTTCCCTCCCGAAAAACGTCGATTATTTCTACCTTCGGTTGCTATTGATTAATGTACGCGATTCAAGTTCACTTGAGTCATTGCGTACTGTGAATGGTACGGTGTGTGCAACTTTTTGAGAAGCATGCCAGACATTACAATTGCTGGAACATGATAATCGCTGGAATCAAAAGATGGACGATGCGATAGCTGCTTCGCATGCCACTGAAGTTCACATACTTTTCGCGATAATAATTTCAACATGTCAACCTTCAAATCAATTATGGGATACGAACAAAAATTACATTGCCGAAGACATTTGACATCGTATTCGCTAAGAATACGTATTCGCTAGAATAGTTTTGACAATGAAGACGAAGCTGTGAATTATCCAGTAGAATTTCTAAATTCTTTAGAGAGGCTTGATATGCCGCCGCATCATTTGCGTCTCAAAGTTGGATCTGTCATTATTATGTTTCGCAATCTTCATTAGCCGACTGAGTGTGACGCTCTATCGAGTAGAAGGGCGCCGAATGCTTGGTGCTACGAATTCCTTTCAGTTCCAACGATTTGCCATTTTATTTCAAACCCATTCAGTTTGCAGGGAATCATTTGAAATGACAATCAACAGGACACAAGGATAGTCGCTAGAAGTGTGTGGCATAAATCTGGAAATTCCATGATTTTCAAATGCTACATTAAAAAAAATCGCAAATAAATGATTTAAGCATAAAATATAGTACACTCAACTTTTTTTTACTTCAAAACACATAATTTCACACAAAACAAAGCTAGTAACTTATAAAATTATTCTTATGTTTTAAGCGAAAATAAAAATCGAAATATAACGTTTATTATGTGAGAAAAAAATAAATAGAAAAGCTTTTTTTTTAAAAATATCTTTAAAACTTTAACTATGTTTGATGTCACTACAACTAGTTTAAAAAACTAACGAGTACTAACTTAAAACCAAATAACATAGAAATTAATAACAATATTCATACATACATATATGGTATATACAGTAAATCCCGCTTAAGTGCTACACCTAACGATGTCAGGTTTTTTTGGCACTTAAGCGGGTGTGGCATTTAAAAGAAACCCGCTTAAGTGCCATATGGTACTTACGAAGATTTCGTTTATGAACTTTTCTAAAAAGCTGCATAAATATATTTTTGATAAAATCAATTTTATTGATTATAATTTACAAAAATTAATAAAAAAAGAACGAAAAAGAAAACAATTTAACAAAAAAAACCTTTCTTGAGATCAAAGCTTTTTAAATTAAATTATTAATTCAAGTTTACATATGGGTAGGTACATACATTTTATGTACTTGTCTACTTATTTATACGTAATAAAGTAGTTTCGCTTCAATTTAAAAAACGAAATCAGTAATTTTTTTCTGACGAAGATTTTGAAATTTCTTTTTTAAAAGCTTTTCTTCCAAAGTTTCAATTTCTTCGGCGTCAATATCGTTGTAATCTCCAAACTTCTTAATAAGGCTAAGAGCACTTAAAGTTTCAGCAAAGGAAGGCGTTTCAGTTACGTCATCAACTGCAGATTCTTCTGATGATTCAACATCAGCCTCATTTAATACATCTTTTACCATTTCCTCACCAGTAAGAACACTAAAGCAATGTCACTGTCGCACGCAACGTATTCATCAAAGTTATGTATTTCAATAGGGACATCTACTATTTCCTCGATAGGGTCGAACGAAATATCTTCTACTTGAAATCCGGCCTACAAAACGAAATTCAAGAATTTTAAATTAAATACATACCTGCAATATTTTGCTTTTCATAGTTCAAACATAATTATTAAGAGCTAACATTCACCGTCGAACTGTCATCGTAACCGGTTGCTTTTCGCTCTTTGCTTATTGAGTTTGTTAAAAC